AGGGAGGAACAACCTAAGACAGGCACAGTCGCAGGGGGGCCATCAGGTGAGAAATTGGGGATCAACAGAGGTGAGGCTTAGAACCTCACCCCCCCTGTTTTGAGAGAAATCTTCTGCATCTGCGGATGTTTTGTTGCCCTTGTCTAGCTTGGATTAATACTTAGTCTATAGGCACAGACCTGATCATCTACATTTGCCCTCTTACAGCACTAAATTATGTTTTCTACCTTTATCTTGCATCTACCTACTACTTCAGCATTTTATTAAAAAAAAATAAGGGACAAATGTGGGATTCACATATAAATCAAGTATAAAAATTAAATGAATAATCATATCTGACTTGATTATTTATAGTTCATGATGCATGATCAAAACCGACAGTTTCTGTGATATGACTGCCCTTGCACTGTTCACCATGTAAGAACTTATTCACTATGTAAGAACTTGTTCACCATGTAAGAACTTGTTCGTTATGCTTCAGAAGATTGGAGACTGTTGAGAATTAGGCTTGGGGTTGATTAATGATTGTGCACTGAGTCCCCTATACAGAATTTTATTGTTGTTAACAACCATTTGATCAATAAATATGAGAGATGCCCTCTCAAAAAAAAAAATGCAAAGACACATATTTCATCCACAAAGAATTGGTTCCTTGCTTAAAGAGAGCAGAGGAAGTCCTACATAGGCGCTGCTCCACATCAAAAGACTTAGGCTTTGGTGACTGACCAAACTATTACCATGGACTGATAAGCTGGAAGATGACTGATTCATGATTCTTTGCTAGGAGCCGAGGACATGTTTTTCGGAAACACCCTGGCCATGTTAACTGCAATTTCATCATCATGCTAAAAAAATTTCATTACTAAGTCAACTCATAAAAATGATGACAGTGGCAACAAGGTACATACATCCTGAGGATTAGCGTCCAGCAGGGTATTAACAAGTCCCTCTAGATATGTGATCCCCAGGAAATGCTTGCCTCTCAACTGTGATTGTTTAATTAACATTGTTGGGGCTTATGTTAACCAGCAGCAAACATACAGAGAGCCCTGTGTGTTGATTTTAATCACCACTGCTGTTGGGATACTGTAAAAGTAGAAGTCAATTATCTTAAAAAACATCCATTCCACTAGATTCAACTTAGGAATTTCTCAACATATTTTGTGTTTTAGAAAAGTTTTCTTTTACTTTTAGATTTCTGAAAAGAACAATGCTTGCAGTTTAAGATGAAACCTGCCAGAAGCATTTTAGTTTATGATTTGATCTGAGTAGGCTTGGTCTCTCAAAGAAAACCATCAACCCCCTCAGCCAAGGATCACAAAAAATAAAAGAGTGTTTTAGAAAAGAGACTCACATGCAGAACAAACTCATCTGTTCCCTAGCATTTGTACACCACCCTGTGGGAGATCCCTACAAAGAAGCTCTCAGCTGGCAATCCCCTTAGCAATGCTTCAAATAAAGTTGGGACAATCTTCGATGCCAGCAAATAAGATTTCTGATAGGGACTCCTGGTATTCATCAGCGGGACAGGGAGAAAACCTGCATCAATTACTAATGCAAAAGTTAGGAAAAATGGACAAAATGCTGAATCTTGAGAGCAAGGCTTGGTCTGCAGCCACCAGCAGTGTCCAAGGAAGGAAACCTGCTAGAGAACAGAACTCTTCTATGACCCCAGTCCTCCAAGGTGACTTCCTTTGTTGCTTCTGGACTTTTAATTCAGGATATGCACATGGTATTCTTTTGCTCACTGGAAGGGGGTAGACCATTATTAGTAAGTGCTGAGATTCAAGTTCAAGGGACATTTTACCTGAACATGATCCTATAGACAAGCTCTGTAATTCACAAAAGAAATGGGCATTTTTTGGTTTCCCTCTTGGTTTCCTTCCTCAAACCTGCTCCTCTTGTCATCTCCAGTAAATGACAGCTTCATTCTTCTAGTAACTTAGGTCAAAAACTTTGGATTCACCCTTGACTAGTCTCTCTCCTCATACCCCATTATCTAATCTTGCTGGCTCTTCAAAATATATACAGATTCAATTACTTTTCTCCATCTCTACTTCTACCATCCTATTAGGCCAAGCCATCGTCAGCTCCTGGCTGGATGACCACAGCAGCCTCCTAGCTGATCTCCTTGATTTCATCCTGTCCTCTGCACAGTCTCTTCTCCATGTTTCAGACACAGTGATCCTTTTAAAATCCAAGCCAATTTTCCATACACCTTAAAAAATAATGCAGGCAAGGACCACGAAAGGATACTAAAACCACTGGGCAACAGTTTGTTAGGAAAGTGGGTATTTATACAGACTTAAAGCTATCTCCACCAGAGGAAACCAGACACCTTTACAAGTAGAGAAATTTGATGGAATCTTAAGAGATCCAAGTTAACATCACCAAAAATGAGACAGACTGACAACACATACCTCTTGTGAGAAGGACTCATCATCACTTACTAATGCCCCTACAAAAATGTTGGAATTATTCCTATTCTTGAGCAATCAGATCATCCAAATGGAGAGACACTCCACCTAGCAACTGGACTACCTTTTACAAAATGTTGATGTCATGAAAGACAAAGAAAGGCTGAGAAACTGTTCCAGAGTAAGGAGACTAAAGAGAAAATATCAATGATGATAAATATCAAGGGTGCTTTTTCTGCAGGTTGCACGGGGGTGGAGGCTCAGGTGCATTCAAGATTGGGTTTCACTCATAATCCACCAACATGGCCGAGGAAGGCATTGCTACGGGAGGTGTAATGGGCATTAATACTGCTCTACAAGAGATGCTGAAGACTGCCCTCATCCATGGCGGCATAGCACAAGGAATGTGTGAAGCTGCCAAAGCCTGAGACAAGTACCATGTTCATCTTTGCATGCTTGCATCCAACTGTGTTGAGCCTGTGTATGTCAAGACAGTGGAGGCTCTTTGTACTGAACATCAAGTCAACCTAATTAAGCTTGATGACAACAAGAAATTAGGGAAAACAAGGCCTCTATAAAACTGTCAGAGAGGGAAAACCCCATAAAGTGGTTGGTTGCAGTTGTGTGCTGGTTAAGGACTATGGCAAAGAGTCTCAGGCCAAGGATATTATCAAGGAATACTTCAAATGCAAGAAAAAAACAAATAAAACACTTGGTTTTTATTCCTCAAAATAACTAAATAGGTAAATAAATATCAAGAATGATCTCATATTGGATCCTGGATCAGAGAAAACAAAGTGCTACTAAGGCAATTATTGAGATAACTGGAGAAATCCGAGTATGGACTGTATACTATTTAATAATGTCTTATCAGTATTGAAATTCCTTAATTTGATAACTGCACTGTGGCTGTATCAGATATTATCTTTGTTCTTAGGAGATATACACTGAAGTATTTTGAATAAAGATGCATGATGTCTACAACTATGTCACATTTAACTATTTTTTAACTATTCAGCAAAAAAGTGTGTGTGTGTGCACAGGGAGTAAGCAAGCACATGTGGCAAATGGTAACAAGTGTTGAATCAACAATGTAACAACTGATGAAACTTGTGAAGGGTATAATTTGTTCTTTGTATTATTAATGCAACTTTTCTGTACATTTGAAAATTGTCAAGATTAAAAGTGGAAAAATTACATCACTCCTCTACTCAAAACCCTCCAGTGGTCTCCAATGTCACGCAAAGTAAAAGCCACAAGCCCTGCATGACTGACCCTGCCACCTCTGGGGTGCCATCTCCCACCACTCTCGCCTGTTCCCTCCGCCCCAGCTCTCTGGCCTTCTTGCTTTTCTTCTAGGCCATGTTCCCTCTGCACGAAATGCTCTTCCTTCCACATATTTCACTTCCTTGCAGAGAGGGTTTCTCTCACCACTCTTCATAAAACAGCAACCTCTTGCTGTTAACTCCTTATCTCCTTATTCTGCTCCATTTTTCCTCACAGCATTCATCACTGCCTGGCATTTTATGAGTCTGTCTGCTCATTGCCCACCACTGACCATGTGCGATGAGCTCCTCGTGGGCAGGGAGCTGGTTTTGTTCCCTTTTCTATCCCCGGCCTCAAGAATAGCGCTTGCTTGGCAGAGTAGTGCTCAGTAAGTATTTGTTGGGTGAATTCACCACTTCGTGAATACTCATTAAAAAACTTAGGGCACCCATTTACACTCTGACAATTTCTGGGTGAAGGGCTACTAAATATTTGAGACTTTTCCAGAAACCTGTTTCTGATCAACTCTGCTGAATAAAGTTGCTTTAAAGAATAGTTTTCCACTTTAATTCTACTCGAGGCAGAAACAAGGATTGCCAGGGGGACATATGCCTTGTTCATTTTCCCCACCCCCAAAACACTGACAATACAAACCCACACACTTTTCAATTGTATGAGCTGACTTCCCTCTCCATCCCCCATCCTAAGAACTGATTCACAGTGATCAAATCTAGACTCTGAAAACTCTGACTGAGCCTCCTGATATTATATTTAACATGATTCTCAAGGACATGGCAGAACCTGGGACCCCAGCAGAAAGCTGTCTTACATGACATACAGTCTCTTGTAGGGATTACTGCTGTTCCAGGGTTAGTCAAGTAGATTTTGCTGGTAAGGAGACAACATACGTAACGGTTTCCCCAAATAAGCTCTCGGAAAGAGAGCCAACGTTTCCCAAGTTACTTACGTCTGTGGAGGTGGGGCTAGGCAGGGACACAGGCTGAACTGGTGCAGGGAAAGTGAATGTGGTCTCTGTCTTTTCATTTTCAGGGGAGTCAGGATGACTGGATGGGGGGGATGTTGGGGTAAGAGCTCCAAACCCCAGTACTGCATTGTATTTTGGAGGACGACCTATATACCAAGAGAAGGGAACAAAATGGAAAAGGGGGAGGGAAGAAAGGGGGAAAAATGATCTTACATACCTTTGGCCAGTGCTCCTCATTGGCTAGCATGGAAAAGAAAGTGAGGTAGCAGACAGAAGGTTAATACAACAGTCCCAAAGAGAGGAAGAAAAGCAAAGATTTAAATGCTATTAGAAACAACTACGTGAGTCTCAAAAGAAGGGAGGATAAGTGAGTCTTGAAGAATGACAGGAGGTGCTGGGTCATGTTAAAGGGCCTCTTCTGGGGCAGACTGTGGTGACACTCCTGGACTATTACGATTTCAGATTTCTAATGAAGAACAAGATGTCAAGCTCAATGGGAGCCAAGGCCAGGAATAGGAATTTATTTTATTTTTCTTTATCTTTTACATATTGCTTTCTAGATTTCTCTGCAACCATCATTCTTAAAATAGTAATGATTCTCAGTTCCCACTACGGGATTTATTTGGGAATTCTGCATTTCCTTATCTCTCTTATCTACATTTTGGTCATTTCACTTCTTGTGAGAGTGGAGAAAAACAAAGAGAGGAAGCAAAATTCAAGTTAACTATTCTTATGCCTTGCTGGTGGAGTTAGTAAGAGATATGTTCCAGCAATAGCAGGCACCTAAAATATGTTCTGAATAACAATGAATTTAAGTATGTCTGGACTCATACCCTCCTCCAGTTGATTAAGAACTGTTTCCCTGCTTTCCACCACAAATACTGTTCCAAAATCTCAGGAAAGGCCCCATCATCAGCAACACTGCCAAATGAGAGACCTGACTTGAGCAAGAGCATTCTGATTCAAATTTCACGGTTACAAAAGATTAACAAATGAGCCCTGATGGGTAGTGTGGAAAGTCCAGGTCAACCATTCTTGTCTAATGATATACTCAAGTTAGGGTCTTTGTCTTCTAACGGCTAGGGGTCATAGCTTCTAAGCTGTGAGTGATCCAGTCCATATCCAGCATATCCAAGGGGAGACAAAAGCACCAGAGAGGTACACAACTGCCTCTGAGCACTGATGGATGACAATGTAGGCTCATGACTTTATGTCAGGATTACGCACAAGAGTCATGATTCTGTCAAACATGACAGAAACATTACCTATCTGTGTTAAACTAAAAATGTCTACAGCATAAAACATTGTACAAGTTTGTCTTTTCTGGGGAATTTAGTGCTGCTAGAAGGGGAAGTGGAAGATGAATGCTGTTGGTTTACCCATAGAAGGCACATCCTAGGCTTTATGAATGCAGTCATTCATCCTCTGACCTTACCATCTTTCTGCCTCATTTAACCCCTGGCCCATTAGCAGACACTTTCCAACCACAGACCAGACCAATTAACTGTGGCTTCTGAATAGCGGCTCCTTTCTGAGAGGGAAGGTAAGAGTTCACTAAAAATTGCCAAAAATAAAACAACAAAAAAATAACCCACGACACTTGTTGTTGTGGCCCAGGAATTAATATGCAGCAATGACTTAGGGTTTCCCATTACATGTTTTTGGCTACTTGAAGGACAGGGCTAATGAAACATTAGCATGGGTCGCTAAGGGGGTATGCTGTCTCTTTTGGGGAAGAAGGTGGTAATGGTACAGCTGTAGTAGTTGTAGCCCTGCCTAAGGTAGACAAAGGATGACCTCCCAAGCTTCCAACGGCTCTGAGATTGTGTGTGTACATGCAAAAAAATAGTATGCTAGTCCACTCATCCTGCAACCTTTTTAGCCTGGAATGATAATTCAGGGACACATTATCATATACAGAAAGGGACCATGGGATGTATTACTGACATCAAAGAACAATTTCAGAACCTTGTTTATGAGCTCAAATTCTTGAGCTATTAATACCTATTTAAACCTGCAGAGAGAGAGCTGCTGCTGCCTTGGTCTCTGCCCCGCCTCTGAGTAAGCTGGACGGCCTACCCTGGCACAATCTAAGATAGGGGGATGAGTTCTTTAGGAATTTCTGCTTTGGGGAGCCTGCTGGGAAGTCACTTTTTCTTCCTTGGTTGGAGATGCCTCATCCTACAGATGCTAAGCTCTCGGTATGGCTACCTCTCCTTCCTGGAAAGTCTGTAGCTCATGGCAACTTAAGACTTGTGCTCTGGTCTTACTGGCAGTAGGACAACTTAGACACCACTAAGAACACCTTGGCAACAGCAGAGTTCTGTTCTGCTCAATGACGCTACAATGCTTCCTTCTATACAGTGTTCCATTCACTGTGTTATTCAGGGACACCCTGGTGGGTCTGAGACAGAAATGCTGCCTTAAGTCATCCCTTAGTCAGCTTTGCCAGAATCCGAGGAAAGGCAGCTTTGGTTTAGCATACAGAACTCTAACAAGAAATTTCACTCTCTTTTTCTTCCATTCTCAGAGAACAACACAAAAGAACTATTTTCAAGGAATATAGGAGTTAGACAGGTTATAGGACAATGGGAGGAGGAAAGGGGAAGAAACACAACACAAAAAGCAAAAGCATCAGCAAGGGAGAGATACAAAAAGGTAGTCACCTCTCTTCCGGGTCCCGGGATGCATGGTACTGTTCAGGTATGTGACTGCACTCTTCTTACGCTTTGAGAATTGAAGAAGGAAAGGTGACTGGATGAATAGCATGGTCACTACTAATACTGGCACAAGCTAAAGACCAAACACAGCATGGCTGTCAACATGCCAACTACTTAGTGCGAGTCACCCCAAGTTCTTGGTGCTAACAGGTTTTATTACATGTACTTGGCTCTGAGAATATTCCAAACAGGTCAGGCTCTGATTCAGATGACAGTTGTATTGAAGCCAGGATGGGTCACATTTTTTTTTGGTATAATTAATCTACAATTACATGAAGAACATTATATTTACTAGGCTCCCCCTTCACCAAGTCCCCCCCACAAACCCCATTACAGTAACTGTCCATCAGCGTAATAAGATGCTGCAGAATCCCTACTAATCTTCTCTGTGTTGCACAGCCCTCCCCATGCCCCACACACACATTACACATGCTAATCGTAATGCCCCCTTTCTTTTTCCCTCCCCTTATCCCTTTCTTCCAATTCATCCTCCTCAGTCCCTTTCCCTTTGGTAACTGTTAGTCCATTCTTGGGTTCTGTGAGTCTGCTGCTGTTTGGTTCCTTCAGTTTTTCTTTGTTCTTATCCTCCACATATGAGTGAAATCATTTGGTACTTGTCTCTTTCTGCCTGGCTTACTTCACTGAGCATAATATCCTCTAGCTCCATCCATGTTGTTGCGAATGGTAGGATTTTTTTTCTCCTTATGGCTGAATAATATTCCATTGTGTATATGTACCACATCTTCTTTATCCATTCATCTACTGATGGACACTTAGGTTGCTTCCATTTCTTGGCTATTGTAAACAGTGCTGTGATAAACATAGGGGTGCATCTGTGTTTTTCAAACTGGGCTCCTGCATTCTTAGGGTAAATTCCTAGAAGTGGAATTCCTCGGTCAAATGGTATTTCTGTTCTGAGCTTTTTGAGGAACCTCCAAACTGCTTTCCACAATGGTTGAACGAATTTACATTCCCACCAGCAGTGTAGGAGGGTTCCCCTTTCTCCACAACCTCGCCATTAACATTTGTGG